AGTTGCTCATCGGCAGTGAGGGTTACATCGCAGTTCCTGTTCTTCATCTGGGTGGTTGGCGCAGACCTCTGGAAGGCTGATGTTGTGTGGCGCTACTAACTGGGTGTAGTATAGGGAGTAGAGTGTGTGCTTCTGTGAGTGGCAAGACACTGGGACAAACTTTGTAACGATATTGGTTCAGATCGGCTCAATCTCAGATTGTTCCTTTGTTATCCTCGTGGGTGTCTACTTGTGATTGGTTGTTGGGAGTATTGTCAGAGAGTGGGAAATACTGTGTGTTATCTCCACACCTGTGCATAGTGCTTTTTTGCTGCTTACTCTGTTTGTGTGCTCTGTCTCCTCTCCCCTTCTTCTTATGCATGTATGGGCGTGTGTGAGATTGTCTGCGTGTGAGTGTTGGTGAAAATCGACAATGTGAGCTTTGCCAGGGAAATAAGGTTCAGCGTAGGCCTGCTCTGGGACTACTCAAACCCTTGCCCACACCTGATGCTCCTGCTGAATCTGTATCTATAGATTTTATAGATCTAGGCAAGACCACCCCTCGTGGCATGCGTCAGGTAATAGTCTTCGTTGGCAAGTTCTCTAAGTACGCAGAGTTCATCCCCTTGCCAAAAGTAACCAGGGTCCCCTCTATGAGAGTAATGTTTTCAGAGAGGTGGGTCACTCACCATGGACCATCCACTTCTATAGTCAATGATCGAGATCCACGATTCTGCAGCACTGAGTGGCAATCCTACTGTAAGGACTGCTTGCACTCACGACTAGACATGACTTATGGTCATCATCCTGAAGCCAATGGTCAGGCTGAAGTGATGAACCAAGTCTTATTTCAGGTGCTGCGTCCTGTCATCTCTCCAGATCAACAGGACCGGGATCTCCACCTGGCTCGTGCACAACTTGTTTACAATACCTCTATCCACTCTTCAACTGTGTTCAATCCATATCGTTTGCATTGGGGACATGAGCCACGACAACCTCTTGATGACATCATCAATAAGGCTAAGCCTATTCTGACTCCTGGCACTACGGACTTTACCAGACGCTACAGAGTCGATGTGGAAAGGGCACGAGCGAACTTGTTCAAGGCTCAAAAGACCATGATTGAACAAGCTAATCGCCACTGACGTCCTTCCCCCATTCGTACTGGCGATTACGTTTGGGTGGCCAGTTCAGAGTTGTCGAGGGAAGAGGACATCTCTCCCAAGTTGTTGCCACGATACCTGGGTCCGTGGCAGGTGTTAGATACAGTGGGCTCCGATCCTTTTGGCCCGTCGTACATTATCGACGTCCCACTACATCTACAAACCTATCCGGTCTTCCATGCATCTAAGCTGCTTCCTTTCATTTCAGCTGATGCATTCCCAAACTGGCCCCCTCAGTTTGGTCCACCAATCCCTGGCAAGGGATATGACGTGGAGTCAATTGAGGACGAGTGGGGCACTGGCCCCGACCGGCAGTATCTTGTGAAGTTTTGTTTCCAGCCTAATACTAAGGACAGGTGCTTCACCAGGAAAGAACTCAAGACAGCAAAGTTTGTAGTTTTGGGTTACGAGGCAGCTCAAAAGGGTTCACTTCCTCGCCGTTCTCCTCGTTTGCACCCCTAGCTCGGAGGTCCTCGCTCCCCGGGCGGGTAAGCCTGCAATGACTCGCTGATTTTGACTGTTGAGATCTGATTGCGAGGCTGTACAGTAACAGCGGTAGAGTTAGATTCGTAATTTTGTTTGTGTCAGGGACTAACCGAGGGTTCAGTGATGAGGGAAATTCACGAGGGACATATCTGCAATTTCGGGAAAATTACAGGCCCGCAGTTCCCTTAGACCGCACTCTGAATAGTAGGCCCGAGCTATCACTAGGACGGGAGGCCCTAGGGCCTAGGCCCGTAGCATGAGAGCCTATAACGGGGTCGGTAGAGGCCCTACAGGCCCAAACTGAAACGGTACCCGTCAGTCCAGTCCCTGTCTAGGTCTAGGTTAGTCTATTAATAGATCTAAGTCGCTATGGTTAGGACTTTTGGCTGTTTTCGTTTTCGCGTGACAGCGTTCTGAGCCAAGCAAGTACAGTGGAGATGATTGCCTACCGGTGGCAGCCTGAGACCTTCGTCGTGAACAGCGGCCATAGCCAGCCTTCTGGAGCTCGCCATAGCTGGGGCGTCCGCTGAGCATCCACCCCTGGGGGTGCTTGCGATCGGCTCGGCTATTCTGAGGCTCTACATGGTATTCGTGGGTGGACCACTGTCGCTGCATCTTCCTCTGAGATCGTGCATGACATCTACAGTGGCGCTGCAGCCATAGCTGCAGCTTTCTTCGTCAGAGTTGCTCATCGGCAGTGAGGGTTACATCGCAGTTCCTGTTCTTCATCTGGGTGGTTGGCGCAGACCTCTGGAAGGCTGATGTTGTGTGGCGCTATTAACTGGGTGTAGTATAGGGAGTGGAGTGTGTGGTTCTGTGAGTGGCGAGACACTGGGACAAACTCCGTAACGATATTGGTTCAGATCGGCTCAATCTCAGATTGTTCCTTTGTTATCCTCGCGGGTGTCTACTTGTGATTGGTTGTTGGGAGTACTGTCAGAGAGTGGGAAACACTGTGTGTTATCTCCACACCTGTGCATAGTGCTTTTCCGCTGCTTACTCTGTTTGTGTGCAGTGTGTACTCTGTCTCCTCTCCCCTTCTTCTTATGCATGTATGGGCGTGTGTGAGATTGTCTGGGTGTGAGTGTTGGTGAAAATCGACAGACAACCAAGTTCATAACAATAGTTGTGTTGTCAGTGCTTGTTTGTGTCTTGCTCCATTGTTGCATTGCTGCCCATCTGCGTGCCTTACTTCACTAGTGTGCATGGTAGTTTGGCTAAACCTTGCTTGCCTGCAGGGTAGTTGGTCACTTTGTTAGCGCTGCACTTCGCTTGACTGTGTTGTTGCCCTGCTACCTGTTCTCTTTGACTGTGTTGTTGCCATTGTTGCCTTGTTCTCGTTGCCTGCCCACCCACCTCCCCCATGCCCTCCACCCTATGCGCCCTGCTGTTGATTGTGGTCCAATGCCTTGTCACCTCCCTGCCCTTTACTCTACTGTCTCTTATGGTTTGCTGTGTTTTGCTTTGCAGCCTTTTGGCTCACTGCTGTTGCCTTCTGACTTGCTGCCTTTTGTCTCGCTGCTTTGCTGTCCTGCCTTGCGTCTTTTCAGTCCTTTTGCTTACTTCACTCATTGTGTGTGGTCTGGTCCATCCGTATGCTGCATTGGGAGCATAGTTGTTGATAGTTAGGATGTGCCAAAATTTATTTTTTTAGAGCTTGATCGTGCAGTTTTGCGCCATGGCGTGCCATGAGTGCACACACACACACAGAGAGAGAGAGAGAGAGAGAGAGAGAGAGAGAGAGAGAGAGAGAGAGAGAGAGAGAGAGAGAGAGAGAGAGAGAGAGATTTGGCATCTACCAAAATGGATACGAATTCATACAACATACAAATTTGGAACTGCATTTGGTGCGCTTTCGTCCAAATCGTAAAATAGAGTGTGAGGTGGTATGAACAAGGTGTCAATCACGTTAACAAAGTATGAAGCACTATGAACAAACAAACAACGTTTTGTTTGACAGGACAGGTCAGTTTGGCTCCCTCCAGACGGACACTCTGTCTCCATCATCGACTGTTGTCGTCGGCACAGTTGGCAAAGACATGTTCCAGATCACATTCTCCAGGGCCTCTGCATCCACTTTGTACCGCTCTGCTAACCGCTTTACATCCCATGGCTCTCCTTTTTCATCTCCAGATCCGTTTTGAAGCAAGAACATTTCCTTCAGTTGTATGATATTCATGGTACCTTCCACCACCTCCTTTGCATCTTGAATTCCTGAGTCCACCTTGGTACTTCTGTCCTTGGGAAGAAGAGAGGGTGCCCTCACTGGGTTCACACTTGCCTGCATCAGACACCCAGCCCAAGTATTTATTGTCAGTTTTGGGTTCATGCAGAAGAAGAGCAAAAGAGACGGAAGGAGAAGGAGAGTGCGGATGGGCAAGGGATAAGGTGAGCAGCTCTTCCTCGTCCACTGGCAGCCCTGCACAGGCCTGCAGGGATTTTCCAGTGGTGCTATGATCCTGCTCAATTCATAATGCAAGACAACTTTGAAAAAAATGTCACATATCAAGAACTAAAAAGGAGGAGGAGGAGGAGGAGGAAGAGAAGAAGAAGAAGAAGAAAAAGAAGAAGAAGAAGAAGAAGAAGAAGAAGAAGAAGAAGAAGAAGAAGGAAGAAGACCCACCACATAGGTAAGAGAACTCAGGGCAAGTAGAGTTAGTGACCTGTGTTAGGACCTGTCAAGCACGGACTGAGACACAGAGCTAATTTCTGAGTTTTGCCCATGGAATATATGCCTTGCTGAGTTTCCCGCTCATTGCTGAGTTTTCTAAGTCTGAGTGTGTGAGTGCTTGCTGGTCTGCGTGCCTGTCTGAGTGCTTGTCGGAGTGAGTGTGTGTGTGACCCGCAAGGGTACTTGACCGTGCGAGAGGCCCGAAGGACCGGTACTTACCTGTGGCCATGACGTTGAGTGTTGCAGTGGGGAAAGCACTCGAGTGGCGGGCAAAGAGGCCCGCGACACTTAGACAAGCGGAAAAACACTACAGTAGCAGGTATAGGCCGGTACCGCACGAAGTTGAGGTAGATGTGCCGGGTACTCGAGGCCGAGCAGAAGAAGACGAAAGTTGGCATTTTAGAGGCCCAGTAGCTGTAGGCTAGGTCTAGCCGGGTACCAGTCCAACCAGTCTGAGTCTAGGGAGTCTGCAATGATGTTTCCCTCCGAAAGGGAGGAGGTACCAGTTGCTTGGAGGCCGTGCGGCTTAGGAAGTCACTCACCAAGAGGCAAGCAGGCTGCTATATCTCCAGGAGGAGCACTTCGCTCCTCCTCATTCTTCGGTGTGCAAGTTTGGCGACACACTGCTTGGAGCGCTGGCTGGAGCAGCGCTGCAAGGAAGATAGGAGCGCCCAGCTCCCCACCACGGCTATGGTGGAGGAGCACGGGTTGGAGGAGGAGGAAGACAAGGACTAAGAAGGGGGAGCGCCAGAGGTACTTACCTGGCTATGGTGGATGCCATCTTCATCACCTTGGTGGGTGCTGCATCTTGAAGGCCCCACTTGGGGTAGAGCTACACCAAGAAGCTCCGAGCCAGAGTCAGGCATGGCGGCCTGAGCTAGCCAGCCCCACAACCCTTCGGCCCTAAGCCTGCAAATCTGCAAGCTGCTAACCTGCAGACCTGGGCCCCACAGAGCCCTAAACCTGTGATGGAGCTCAGAGAACACTTGCCAGTTCTAATCAAGAACGAAAAAGCCTTGCAACTAACAGATTGACTGCGGACTAAAATAAGGTTCCAGTCATTTTTCCCCGGGCATTGCTGCCCCAAAACATGCAGACCACCTTTCGTTCGAAATGGAGATGGTGGGCATATCCCATATTCCGTGGTCAGGGTTGCAATTCAACTCTCGCTACTGGGTTCTCTACGAGGTGGTGAAGCTCTTGAGCACCCCTGAAGGTTGTGGTCGTTTGGGGGTGAATTCAGAGAGCAGTTACGGATCTGGTAGAGACAATGGCATCTCGCTTTATTCAATAGCGGCAGGAGCATGCTCCACGTGGGCATCCGGTAGCCTACAGGCTTGTTGGTGTCTGGGGTCCCGTATTTATGGTCTGTTTATTTATGCTTTGTTTATCTTAACTTCGTAGTACTTCTCCTATCCCGGAAAGTACGCAGCGCGTCTCGCATAACATGTCCCACACGAGACCTGGGGGAACCGCTGGGCCTAAAGGAAGGGCACAGCGAGGATGCCCTGCCAGAGCGTTCCAAAGGCAAGCGGGAGCAGGGAGGGATTGTGGGGCCCTGTGGGGATATGGGCCGCTAGCGGGACCGTTGGGCATGGGCAGCAAAACATGTTTTGACCGCAGCACAGGCACGATATGGCCCCCCACAGTTGGTCGCGGCCTCTGTGTTTTCTTAAACAAAAACGAATTCTCTCTCTCATTCCATCCACGATTCGTCATAAATCATCCATAGAACAACGAAAACATAGGTACACAAGATAGTAAAGATGCAAGGTTGGCCACGTCTGTGTGGTTAAGCCCCAAGTGTGTCTGTGCATCTGCAGTTAAGTGCCAAGTGTGTGTGTGTGTGTGTGTGTGTCTGCGGTTACGGGCCAAGAGTGTGTGTGTGTGTGTGTGTGTGTGTGTGTGTGTGTGCGCGTGTGTGTGTGTGTGTGCCTGGCTAAACATTTCCCCGTCATTGTTACCATTGTCAGGATCATTACCAGAGAGAGAGAGAGAGAGAGAGAGAGAGAGAGAGAGAGAGAGAGAGAGAGAGAGAGAGAGAGAGAGAGAGAGAGATGATTTGCCCACCAAGGCACAAACATGCCACTGCCCAAAGTTTGATCTCTGTGTGTGTGCGTTGATTTGGCCACAAGGCACAAACACCCCTTACCCCTCCCGTGACTTCTTTGCCTGCAGGTCTTGTTGTGATGCTCCCGACAATCTGCTGAGTCAGCACTTTGAACTTGGCATCATTCTTGTCCCACTCATCGCCCTCCTCCTGCTCCGGCTCAACAATTGGTCCTTCAAGGGGGCCCAGCAAAACCCCGCCGGCGAAGAAACAAACGAGGCATTCACAGAAGATTACCAACTTACCACTTTGAACAACAGACAAGCTTTTCATATAGTCCTGAACTGTCGAAATACAGACCCGAGTTCGAACTCCAGTGGAAATAAACGATGAGTAAAATACTGTACTGCAATTCGGAATACCCAGGGGCGGTCAATTGCATGGTGATATCTCAAGGCCGTAGGCTTTCGTATAGAACGGAAAGGGGGGTGGGGGGGGGAACAATCAAAAACAGCCACAGGGAAACATCAGCATAGAAAGCAATTAAAACTGAGGAAGAAGTCATCCTTCAGTTCTGTGGGATGCATCTGGTCGTAGCCACAGTGAAATTCAGTCCATAAAGCCCTGCGTGCGGAAAGCCGGCGTGTTACGATGTGGTTACTTGAGAGCAAAAAAAATTCACACTAGCGCCTCTTCTGAATCCCCACAGCCCAAGCGCGCAAGATTTTTTCCCGGCATCACAAACAAGCCCTAAACCAAGCTTGGCACCCAAAACCTCAGAGCCCCTAAACCCTAAGCTGCTGCAAATCCCAGTCCCACAACTGATATAGCCCAGCTCCAAAACCCAAACCTGAAACCCTAAACCATAGATAAGATGGAATTCCCTATATTCCGAACCCCTCAGCTCATGACTTGTCAGAGCGAACAGAAGACCCAGGGAGCACCCGAATAGAACGCGCTGTAATTATTGACATATCTGGACTGCAAGTTGCACCAAAAAATACAGTTATAAGGACCGGGGGCGTTCTATTCGGGTGAAGGCGGTAGCATGACTCGAGAGAAATGCGCCTTCCGTCCTCGTTATATAGTCAGTAGATCTACTGACCATACTGACTATAAAACGAGGACCGGGCGTTCTATATAGTCGTTGCTCTAACGAGGACTATATAGAACAGGATCAAATTGGGACCCTTGTTGGCCACAGCCCAACACCGTTGTGTTGCTCTCATGGTCGTGGTAATTACGCTGCGATGTGGTCCATGGTGAGTAGGACTTAGTTTCAATCATTGTGACGTTGCAGCTAGGTTTTGAGCCTGGGTCTATAGGACTGTAGGTAGTCTGGAGGTGGGAGACTAGGTAGAGAGCTAGGCCGGTCATCTTGGCAGAATTGATTCAGACCGGCCATACCATTCACTCTGAGCTCTTGCGGAGTCAATTCATGTCTGCAAGTGATGGCTAGATAAGGCTGCAGCCATCGCTGCTCGTTGCTGCTGCTGAGATAGTACATCATTCTGCTCCCCATTTGTTGTATCTTGGTTTCTGCTGTCATCCACCCACGTGGCCATAATTTTCCACCAGTATCATCAAGTTTTTGGTTGTGAATAGCAAGGAACATTTTGTTTCCATCAAGTTTCGATTGTACATAACGAGGAGCACTCTCTCTCTCTCTCTCTCTCTCTCTCTCTCTCTCTCTCTCTCTCTCTCTCTCTCTCTCTCTCTCTCTCTCTCTCTCTCTCTCTCTC